TTCTTCCCTCTTGGTTAAAGCTGTCCCTTTCCAGACATCCTGCGGGAATTCCCACAGAGTAAATGCTCAAAAAGTGTTTATTATGGAATGTGGGTGTAACTCAGTGGTAGAGCACTTGCCTAGCATACAGAAGGCTCGAAGTTCAAGCCCCAGAACTGAAAAATAAAAAAAAGTGTTCATTGAATGAGTATATTTATTTTGTCCCTTTCCAGTCTTTTTTTTTTTGGGGGGGACTGGGGTTTGAACTCAGGCCTTTGCACTTGCAAAGCAGGTGTTCTATCACTTGAGCTATACCTCCAGCCCTTCCCTCTCAAATCTTTTTCACTCTCCACTCTCGGTGGGTGCAGGAAGGTCTTACACATGCCTTTGACTCCTCTTGCTCAGTTTTAGGCCAATGTTAGCAGACATTGAGTTTGCTCATTTCCTATTTTTTTAAACAGCTTTATTGAGATATATTTTATATACTTCAATATATGCCATAAAATCCATCTGTTGAGTGCACAAATGATTTTTAGTGAAGTTACAGAATTGTGCAGACATCAAACAGTCCAGTTTTAGAGTATTCCCATCACTCTCAAAATATCCTTCACACTCATGTGCATCCAATTCCCATTCCTCAGTCCCCTGGAACCACTGATCTGCTTTCTGTTTGTTGCTTTTTTTGGATATTTCCTATAAATGGATCGTTTAATATGCTGTCTTCTCCATCTGGATTCTTTCACTTAGCATGTTTTTGAGGAGTGTCAATTGTAACATGTATCACTGTTTCATTCCTTTTTTATTGCTGAGTAACATTCTGTTATGGATATTATGCGTGTTGTTCCTTCGTTTAATTGATGGACATTTTGATTGCTTTCACTTTTTGGCTATTATGAATAACTGTTATGAACAGTCACATAAAAGTCTTTGTGTGGACATATGTTTTCATTGCTCTTAGATTCCTACAGATAGAATTGCTGGAGATGTAGCACCTGCTTGTAGAGCACCTGCTGAGCAAATACAAGGCCCTGAGTTCAACCCCAGTATCATTAATGATGAAGTCAAGAAATTGCTAAACTGTTTTCCAAAGTCCTTGAGCCATTTTACTTAATCATCAGCAGTGTATGAGTCTCCAGACATTTCTACACCCTGCCAACACTTGTTACCTTTAGTTCTTTAGTTATAGACACTCTTCTGGATGTGAAGCTGCATCTTACTGTAGTTTTGATTTCTATTTCCTTAATGATTGAGACTGTTGACCATCTTTCATGTGCTTATCAACCCTGGGATGTCTTCTCTGGTAAAACACCTATGCAAAGATTTTGCCCATTTTTTTTTTATTCATATGTGCCTACAATGCTTGGGTCATTTCTCCCCGCTTCCTCCACACCCTCCTTTACCACCCACCCCACCCCCTCCCTCTCCTCCCCACCCCCTCGATACCCGGCAGAAACTATTTTGCCCTTATCTCTAATTTTGTTGAAGAGAGAGTATAAGCAATAACAGGAAAGAACAAGTGTTTTTGCTGGTTGAGATAAGGATGGCTATACAGGGAGTTGACTCACATTAATTTCCTGTGCATGTGTGTTACCTTCTAGGTTAATTCTTCTTGAGCTAAACTTTTCTCTAGTTCCTGGTCCCCTTTTCCTATTGGCCTCAGTTGCTTTTAAGGTATCTGCTTTAGTTTCTCTGTGTTGAGGGCTTTTGCCCATTTTTAAATTGGGTTCTTCATATTATTGAATTTTTAAAAAATATATGCTGTATACAGATCCTTTTTCAGATTATGATTTGTAGTTGTTTTCTTTCACTATATAATTGTTTTTTTGGCAGTATTATTTTAAAAAGCACACAAGTCAAATTAGACTTGAGTCACAGCTCCAGCCCTTTTTTGCTTTAGTTATTTTTCAGGTAAGGTCTCACATTTTTGCCTGGGGCAGGCCTCAGTCCACAATCCTCCTACCTGTGGCCTCCCAAAAGGCTGGGTTTACAGATGTGCTCCACCATGCCTAGTTTCTTAATTGAGATTGGATTTCACTAACTTTTTGCCCCAGCTAGCCTAGGCCTCTAATTCACCTTTTTTTTTTCTTTCTTTCTTTTCTATTTTTAAATCTTACCTTCTTTTTTGTTTGTTTTCTCTTTTCTTCTATCCATCCTCTTTCCACCTCCTGAATAGCTGGGATTACAGACATGAGCCACTGTGCCTGGCAATACCTACCTTTCTTTTTTCTGGTACTGGGGCTTGAGCTCAGGGCCTCACACTTGCTAGGCAGGTGTTCTACCACTTGAACCACCCAGCCAGTCTGATAACTACTTTTTAAATTGAGAAACAGTTCTTGGACTGACACAGGTTCATATAATTTTTGGTAAGAATGCAGAGTAGAAACTAGGGAAAGAGTACACTCTAGTATTTGTTTAAAATTTTAAATAAATATATATTAATTTTATAATGGGAAAAAGTTTAAAGGGCTCTGTCCAGTTAACTTTGGACAAAGAAGATACATGAGAAAGAACAATTGCTAACTTCATGTAATTTTCCCCTTTCTGCTCTAGTTATAGTCAGGGTACCTCTGATATATTGGCTAATTTTGTTACTTTGGTAAATTATATAACATCTCAAAGGCAAAAGTTATGGCCTATTGTATATCTTTCTATAGCTTCTAACCTAGTAGACAAATAATATGAATTGAGCCAGGTATAGTAGTGTGTGACTATAATCCCAGCACCTGGGAGGCAAGCAGAAGGATTGTAAATTCCAGCTTACATAGCTACATAACAAGTTCTAGGCCAGCTTGGACTACATAGTGAAATACTGTGTCAAAACAAAACCAAAATACAGGAATTGGGAAGTGTGCCACAGATGATTTTAATACTATCAAAAGATAACTAGTTGGTACATATTGGGATTTATTATATGACAGAGGAGACACTTCAAGTCAATGGGGGAAAAGATAGGTAATTCAATAGATGGTGTTGGGACAACTGGATGAACATCGGGAAAAAATAAAGTCAGATTCATAGCTCAAATTTTGTACCAAAATAAGTTCATATATAGAAAAAATATTTTAGCCAGGAAAAATATTTTAGCTGGGTGCCAGTGGCTCATGCCTGCAATCCTAGTTACTTGGGAGGCTGAGATCAGGAGGATCAAGGTTCAAGGCCAGCCCAGGCAAATAGTTCATGAGAACTGGTCTCTAAAATAAGCAGAGCAAAATAAACACCTCTAAAACAAGGTGTGGCTTAAGTGGTAGAGTGCCTGCTTTGCAAGTACAAAGCCATGAATTCAAACCCCAGTCCCACCAAAAAGAAAAATTTTAATATCTTGAGGATAGCTCAGTGATAGCACACTTGCCTAGCATGTGGTAGGGTCCAGGTTTCAATCCTTAGCACTGCAAAAAGGAAACCCATTGTTTTTAAAATTTTTGAGTAAACAATGCCTTTTTACATATGACAAAAATGAGGAAGAATACAGAGAAATATCATTGACCAGTTTAACCACTTAAAAATTCTGCTTAGACAATTATCACAAAGAGAGAATGAAAGGAACCGAGGGAGGGAGAAAGGAAGAGAGAGAGGGAGGGAGGAAAAAAGAGAGGGAGGGAGGGAAAAAAGAAAGGGAGGGAGGAAGGAAGGACAGACAAGGTAGAAATATTTCCAGCTCATATTATAGACCCAGGACTATTTCCTTAATAAAAATTAAGTAAGAATCTGTAAGAAAAAGACCAGCAAAACAATATAAAAATGAACATAGGATATAACAGTCATTTCACAAAAAATGGCTCTTAAATGTGTGAAGAGCCTCAGTAATACTCAAAAGAAGAGGTATGTAAATTAAAACTAAGAGCTACCACTTTCAAACTGGTAAAACTCAACATTTGATAGTACTTTCTGTTGATGAGTATATGGAACTCTCAATGGATTACTGGTAGTCTAAGTTGGTACACCCCCAATGGTTAAGTATGATGCATTCTGACCTCATGTCCTACCATTTTCTCTCTAGCTCAATCTCAATTGGCCTCCTACTCTCCCTTGAACATGCCAAGCACACTCCAGCCGCAGAGCCTATGCATTTAACTATCCCCACTGCTCCTGAAATACACAAAGTTTTCTTACCTTCTCAGGCCTTTGCTCAAACATCCCTTCTTTAGTGAGGCCTTCTCCGGTCACTGTATCTAGAACAGCGCCTCCCACCGCCACCGTCATACTCCTGTCACCCAGCTTTTAATGTAGAGCACTTATCATCTAATGTTATTCCAACTGTAAGCCTAGGAAAGACAAAGACTTTGTTGTGCACACTGCTGTATTCCCAAGTCCTGAAACTGTACAGGCTTAGAATGTAGTAGGTGCTCACTGAGTATATGTACTGCACGAATGCAAGAATGAGCCTTTACGGAAGACCACTTAACAGTGTTTATTAAAATTTACAATTAGGCGTTTATCCTTGCATGTGTACATATCAGAAAATGTACAAGGTTATTTACGGTAGCCTTGTTTGTCAGTGAAAAAAGAAAAACTGCCTAAAGTCATCTTTTAACATAAATTACCCACATCAGTACAATGGAATAAATGGAGCACCATATGGGTGCATAAGGCTCTCTAATTCTGAAAATTTTTTTGCTGTCTTTGGATAATATATGTATGAGATGCAATGATCTTAAGACCCTGGTGAAGGCTGGGAGCATGGTCAAGGGGTAGAACACTTGCCTAGCAAGTTCAAGGCCCTGACTTCAAACCCCATACAGGGGGGAAAAAATGTCTGGGTTGGAGGTGTGGCTCAAGCAGTAGAGTGCCTGCTTTGTAAGGGTGAAGCCCTGAGTTCAAACCTCAGTACTGCCAAAAGAAAAGAAAAAAAGACTCTGGTAGTATCACTACACAAATTATCCTCTTTAATCCTGCATTTAATGGTAAAGAAAGTAAGGGACAGGGCAGGTGGAATGACTCAAATGGTAGAGCTTCTGTCTAGCAAGTGTAAGGCCCTGAGTTCAAACTCCAGTTACTGCCAGACAGAGAGAGAGAGAGAGAGAGAGAGAGAGAGAGAGAGAGAGAGAGAGAGAGAGAGAGAGAGAGAAGGGATAAACAGGTAGAAAGAGTGAATAATCATTTTCATAGTTTTATTTAATGAGTAATTTCCTTGTAGAAAACACAGGGTTTCTACTAACTAAATAAAATCCTAATAAGAACAAATACATCTGTATATAGAGAACCTTGTTAAACAAAGAAAGATCCTCTCTTTGTACACCCAAACTCATGAGCAGGCCTCAACTGGCAGTACCTATTGTTCATTTATTATGGGTGGATTTCCCATTTTACTAACAAACTTCTCATTATGGCTTCAGAATGTCTTTAGTATGTTATTTCCGATCCCACAGGGGCAGAATTCCCCTGCTGTCTATCACATGACATCCACTTGCAGCTGCTGGCACTTGGCAGGGGTTATTTTTCTACTCCAGAGTTAATGACATATAAAGACACAATGCAAAAGAATAAAAAAAAAAGACATAATGCACACAGGATATTTCCCTGATAGCCATATGTGCTCTCCAATCTTATCAAACTGTAATTTGCTCACTGTTCCTCAAACAAGAAATTCTACTTCTTGTCTCTTTACCACCTCCTTCTCCCTTTTTTCCAGTTCCTGTCATCTGGAAAGCTTCTAGCCAAATACTACCATTTGAGAAGCCAAAGTCCTGTCCACTAAGGAAAAAATTTTCTTGGACTAGTTCACCCTCTAGTAATTTAGGCTCTGACCTTCTTTAGACCTTATAAAGCATCCGGCTCTAATCTTTTTGTTGCTTAATACTGTTAATTAGCTTTCCACAAGTTTTTGAGTTATTTTCCATTTAGATAGTGAGCTCATTAAAGATAGATTCCTATGCTGTTCTTCCTATATTCCTCATGTACCAACACCAAAGATGTAAATGACCTGGTTTTATGATGCAACATATTCATTTAGTGTTCTTTACAGATTTTTTTTTTTAAAAAAACTACATTCTGTGTAAAAACATAGGTATTCTGCCAGCCCAATAAATTGGTTTGGTATCAGAACTCATCAGCTGACTCTGTGTCCCAGCCACAGGACTGCAGTTGTTCATCCTGGGGGAACTCAACCTCAATGTCATAAACAAAATTTGGATCATCCTTTTCTTCTGATTTTTCTCAAAAAGTTCATCCATAATGCTCTTCCTTTTGGCAAGCTCCTTGTCATCTAGTTTGTTCATGTCTTCCTCAGGATCAATAGTTGTTTCCCGTTGAATTTGTTCCATCGTTTCCGCCAGACTCTGGCCCCGCAAGTAACCTCGTAAAAAACAGAACAACTTTTCTAACTGCTTCAGGGACACTTGTTCCAGATAACTCTTGTGTCGTGGATTATTTTTTAATTGTTCAGCAGCTCTAGTGCAATCTAGGAGGGAGGAAAAAACTATGTATACATATATCAAACAATTAATGCACCACAAATTACTGTAAGGGCCAAAATAAAACAAGAAACTCAGAACCCTGAAATCATTGACTCCATTATAGCCAGGTGGCTAAAGGACTTTATTGGAATGAGTTGTGTAGAACTACTCCTTTATAATAAATTGACATGTGCGAGTCATGGTGGTAGATGCCTGTAATCCAGGCATTGGGGAGGTAGAGATGGGAGGATCCCAAGTTTAAGGCCAGTCTAGGTTACATAGCAAGACCCTATCTCATAAAGACAAAACAATTTATTATTATTATAGTAAATTGAGCTTTCAGTGTAGAGGGGAAAAGATGGATGCATTTATTTTTGACTTCCTTAACTTAAAATCACTTTGTGGAGATGTTAAAAATCTTTCAATTGAAGAAAGTATCTGAGAATAAAAATGGCATACATTTAGGCAGCAGTCATGGCACTAATAAAATATCAAGACTATAAATAAAAAACAGTAAGAGAGAGAGGGGAATTAATATTATTGAATAATGCTATCTCATTTGACTCATACAGCATTCTCAAAAGGATTAAATTATCAATTATCAAACTGGAAAAAAATTATCAGTTCCTTTTTATAGATTTGGAAACTGTCACTCTCACTGACAATACGTAATTTAGCCAACATCACACAACTAGTACCTGATAGTCACGATTTGAACCTAGGTCTTCTGACTCTGAAAGTCATGTCCTTCCGTTGCATGAGACTTAAATAATTTTTGGGTTTTTTTGTAGTACTGGAGATTGAGTACAGGGCCTCAAGCATGCTAGGGAGTGCTCTACCAGTGAGCCACACCCTTGCTTTTTTTTTTAAGTTTTGAGACAGGGTGTCCCTAAATTGCCCAGGTTACTCTCAAACTTGCAATTTTCCCTCCTTGGCCTCCCAGGTAGCTGGTTGTAGGTGTGTACTACCACACCTGGCATCAAATCATTCTTAAGTGATTTGGACAATATTTCAGCTAGGAGGCAAGACAGAACAAAAGGTACCTGAAAACTTTGAGAAGTTTCGGACTGGCATGATGCGCTCACGGCTCTTCCCCTTGATTTCATTCTCATAAATTAAGATGATAGCTGGAGGCTGGAATCGAATCCCACATTTCTTGGCAGTGCACGTCATTTTTCACATATATTTCAGGGTAAATAAGAGGAAATCCAAGGAAAATGTGTTGGTTGTGTAATAATTTTCCTGCTGGAGGGGAAACAACAAAAACACCCCACTAAGTGTTGAATCCACCTCTTTTCCTTTACCCTCCTCCCCAGCATATCTGGCTGTAGTCCAGTTCTGGAAATGCATGCTTGCTTTCTGAAGCACAATACCTTGAGGACTAGCCTGAAAGTTCAGTTTGGCACTGGTTAGCCTCAGGGTTTTTTTTTTGTTGTTGTTGTTTTGTTTTTGCTGGACGGGGGATTCAACTATTGAACTCAGGGCCTAGTGCTTGCTAGGTCAGTGCGTTACCACTTGAGCTATGCCCCAGTTCTTGTGCTGTCTCTGGTGTTGCAATGTTAGGACCATAGTAGGCTTCTCTTGAGTGGTCTTTCCTTGCCTACTTTTGATCTTTATAATTAGTAGTGCAGGCTGAGCTGGTGACACAAAGAGGAGATGTGGAAGCAGCAGCAAAGCAATAGCAGCAGTAGTAGTAGTGGTAGTAGCAGGAGCAGTGAGAGGGCAGCTGAAGAGTTCTAGGAAGCTTCCAAGCCCTAAGGACCAAGTGTCCTGATACCCTAGACCTCGGAGCTTTAACACTAGCTTCTGTTGGAGGCCTGCCTAGGAGCTGTAGCAACGGCTGGTGCTGTCTGCTGCTACCACTTACTGCTGCTGGAAGCTGAGCATTACAATAGCTGCCAAGTGTCAGGCCCACTGGTGGCTAACGCCCGGAGCAGTAAGTCTTCAACCTGAGTATCTACAGCTGTGGGACTCTGGCTTCTGAAGCCCCCAGCTCTTAGGGTTTGGAGTGTAAGCCTTTGGGTCTGCAAGTGCAGCCCCCTAGGCCTTGGCCACTCAAGGGCCCAGGTTCACCAACACTAGAAGAGCTATTCCATGCCAATTAATGATTTCTATTCCACAGAGCAAAAGGATGCTGTCCAGCTGATTGCTGACAATCTATGTGTTTACAATCTAGAAGCCTGATCAAAGAGGAAGACCTGATGGAAAATCTTCCGCTCCATATACAAAACAGCAATGTTTAGACAGCTTTTACTTCAGCTTATTTGTCTTACCACAGTCTTTTTCTAGTTATAAGAAATGCAGCTATTTTCATACTGTTCTTTCTTCTTTTCTCCACTCTCAGTGCCAAAATGCATTCAATTATGGGAACTGCTTTAAATGTGGTCTGGTATTCTACAGAAGATTCTCAAATGTTGAAAAGTTTGAAGTAAAGTGGCAAAAGGGATGATATCTTCATAAACTTAGTTCTGTTGGAAAATCACTAGGAGAATATAGTTTTTTAAAAAAAATCATAACAGTAATTGTACATGTTCATTGTAGAAAAAACTGGGGGCAAATGGTGGAGGAAGAAAACATAAAATAATCACCCATGATTTCTTTATCTTTTTTCCTAAGCATTTTAAAGCTATAGTATATTAGTTATATCGCACATACTATTTCCTGATTTATAAAGTTAACTTATGTGTAAATGTTTTATTAAAATGCAATTTTACATGATTGCCGAGTGGATTTGTCTTAATGTATCATAATCTATATTATCATCCCTTATTGTTGGATGTGATAATTTTTACTCTTAGGACATTAATCATAAAGGATTGCTTTTGCCAGGCATGATGGTGCACTCCTGTAATCCTGCACTCTGGAGAGTGATGCAGGAGGATTTTGAGTTCTAAGCTTGCCTAGACTCCTGACTCAACACAAATGAAAAAGAATTGTGTTTTCAAATCACTGAGCTTTGCCTCTGATCAGACGTAATGACTAACTATTACTCCCAGTCCACCTCACTAAAATTTGGTGTTAGTAAACTTCCTAGAAGATAAAACTAGCACAATATAAACTACACACACAACAAACGGCCAGACTTGTGAATGATGTCTGCAACAGATACTCCCTATGCCGTTTTTTTGACCGTGGTTCTTTTCTATTTAAATTTAACCTTTTATTTTAACTAGAGCAGTGTTTGTACTGTTTGGAATGTAAATATTCCATGAGGATTATAACAAAAACTGATTGTTTTCTGCTCTCTCCCTCTCCCTCTCCCTAGGCAACCAGTTTCAGTTCTTTTAGGCATTTTTTTTTTCAAAATTTCTCCATATTTCTTAATAAGCTGCTTATACTGTTATTTTCAGTTTGGACAGACAACTCTCCTTCCTCTTGGGCACATCAGTCTTAGAGCCCTCTGCCCTGCTCCAGTCTGCTCCGGGTGCTGTCTAGGCCTGCTTACGGATTCCGTCCAGTTTAGGACGAGGGTGAGTACACTACCTTAATTACCTCCTCGGACATGAATGCTTTCCTCCTCGGGGATCGGTGGCTGTCAAGACCTTGGAAAAATGTCCCCCACAGCACCTAAAAGGGTACGTATTTCCCAACGCGTAGACGATCCTCTCCCTATTCACAACCCCACCAGTGCAAAGCTGACTTCTTACCGTTAGAGAAATGCAGGAAGTGCATGTTCTTCTGCAGTTCACCGTCTAAACCGCCCGAGAGGGTTGCTTCTACCCAACCGCACCGCACGCAGCAGCCTGCACACGGAGGAGCGCTTAAATTGATGTTGAGGGCGGGTGGAGCCTGGCGCGGCAGGAAGAGACGGCGGCCATGGTACCACTGACGTGACCGTGGGGTGAAGCAACTCCCGGCAGGAGGCCTGAACTCGCAAACACCTGCCAGCGGAGAAGGCCGCCTCCAGCGCTGCGAGTCCACTCCAAGGGTGGCTGAGAAATCCAGAGGTCGCGCTGCGCGCGCTAAGAACCGTCCCATGGTAACAGTCCGGGAGCTCGTATGGCGCAAGCGCAGATCCTAACCCCGCCCCTCGCGCCTCCAAGTGGGACGGCGAGGGGCGGGGCGATGAGGGAGAGCACGCTGGAGCGGGCGGCCAGTGATCGGCCTCACGCGGCGCTAGGCGCAGGCTGGGGCCGGGACTGCGGGGATCCGCGAAGCCGCGGAAGTGCAGGCGTGCGGGTCGTAAGCCCTCAGTCGCCTTGTGGGTTACGCGCTCTAGGAGCGGCGTGAGGAGGCTCTTCCTGCGTCCGCATCTGGTGCCGGCGCGCCCCTCTCGGGCGTCCGCGCTCCGGCGTCCTGGCTGCCCGCCCTGTGTCTGTCCTGGTAGTGGCCTGGCTGCTCCTCGGGGTGGCTGGGCTCACCCGCGCGCTCGCCACAGCCTGCAGCGACGCCCCCTTCGGCGCTGGTAAAGGGGGCGTGGCTTGGGGGGCGTGGGTGGGAGCGGCCCCGACCGGGTGTCCCCGAGCTGTGCTCCGCGGTGTGTCACCGCGTTTCGTGCAGGGTCGCGGGGCCGGAGAATCGTAGGGCCAGCTGGAGGAGGGTGAAAACAAAGGCCGCGTGCTTGCCTTTTGCTCTTTGTCCCATCCTGGACATTTGGAGAGCCGGGCCTTGTGGTTCTGAGGTAGGGTTGGTCGCACTGCTATTAAGGTACTGATAAAGAACATCCAGGAAGCTTCTTGGGGTGCTCATGGGATGTCCGAAAGCGCCCCTCCACCCACCCCTGGGGCCAGCCAAGTGTCCGCGCTCTGTAAGGTCGGAGAATCCCAAAACAGCACTTAGAGACTCTGCGGTGGGTGGGAGAGGGGCTAGTCTTGTTTTACACACCTTCGATGATCACAGTAGGTTGGGCTGGGAATGGGCATCGCTTCTTTTCTTTGAGCCCTAGTCCCTGAGTGTGAGCGCAGTGCCAAGTGCTGTGGATCGGATCCTGAGCCAAACATGGCTCCGATCCTCCCGAGAGCTTGCAGGGTAGTGAAGGAGTCAGACACGTGCAAGTCAAGGCAATATAGTGATAATGTTTGATGAGGGGAGCAAAGACAGCTAAAACTAGATGAGTTTCTCCATCCGTAAAACCAGGATGGCAGACTAACTAGTATCTGTCAGTCGGCACGGTTCTGCTTTTGTGTGTTTAAATGTTAGGTAAGGGCTGGTGGTAGAATGCCTGCCTAGCAGGTATGAAGTTCTGAGCTCAAACCCCAGTACCACCAAAACAAAACTTAGCAAGCCAGGCAGGTAGGCACATGCACACCTGTAATTCCAGCACTGGAGAGAGGCAGGAGGATCACCTGAGCTACAAAAGGAGGACCTGGCTCAAAAAAAAAAAAAAGTCATGCATACCTTGCTTCTAAAGTCCCTTAGTTCTATGACTTAGAGTCAGATACTAACTATAAATCCTATGTCCTCCTATTTACCATAGCAATATTTTTGCCTGCCTACTTAGTTAGGTTGTGAAAATTACAAAAACAAAAACCATGTGAAAGCTCCAAATAAAGGATTAAGCATATAGACATGCTTAACATGTTTTTCTATTCTTTTTTCTTAATTTCACATGGTTTCACCTTTATGTCAATTTTCTTAGTGCATCTTTTCAGGAATATATGTAATGGGGGGTTCAGTCTCATGCAATACTAGGTGGTTTTCCTTGTGTTTTAATGTTCTTCCCACAGACTTCTAGCTTTTGAAATAGGCAGAGTTCTGTAGTCTGGCAGTGTTAGTGGTGTATAGAATCTGAATTTTTTGTTTTATGATACTTACATTGAGTAATAACATGGAGTCAATATAGTAAAATTTCTGGATATTCTAGGTTTATAAATGAGGTCTTCAAACCTTTGAGTGCCTTCAGTTGTCTCGCTTGTTTTTAAATCCTCCCAACGTCTTCACAAGGCATAAATGTATAGTCTTCCACATTTTGTTGGCATGGATGTTAGAATACAGAAGTTTCTATTATGTGTCTGATATGTGCAGTTTCAATCAGCAAGGATTAAAACTCAGATTTTCTGACTCTTTAGCCATTCTCTTCCCTTTTTGGTGTCCTGAGATCACCTGAATAGAGCAATGTTAATAATAAGCACTTATAAAGAACATTTACTTACAGTAGCTCTGTTCTAAGTGCTTCTACAAATATGAACTTCTTATGACTCCCCACAGACAAATCAACTGTCTTGCTCAAAGACACACAGCTATTAAATGATGGACTGAGATTTGAATTCAGACAATCCAACTATAAAGTTAATATTCTCAACCACTATGCTGTACCAGAAATAGATTTATATGCAAATCAAACTGCTTAAATTGAAAAAAAATTGTTTCGCTTTAGGTTGGTTAGTTTTTCTGCCAAGTAAAGTATACTGAAATAATTATTTTCTTATTAACTGTTCTTTCACTGAGTGTCTATTTTAAAAAGTCTTTTGATTCTTATAGGCATAAGGGTCACTTGTTCTGAAATTATTTTGAGGCAAGAAGTTTTAAAAGATGGTTTCCACAGGTAAGTTGCCTGTTTTTCTACTTACATTAAAATACTATCTCATAATTTAGAGCAAAAAAAATTGATAGGTGAAATATGGATAAACTGAAAAATTACTTGCTTTCCTAGTGTTAACCAGTGACAGATTTATCATATGTGCTTTACACTTTGAAATAATGATGAAAATAACAGCGGGGAAAAGAAGAAAACATTATTGTTTACCATGTGTGCTTAATTTTACATATATGGCCAGTAGCTACATTACAGTGTCCCATTTAATCTTCACAATGGCTGGGAGACAGATGAAATTTTTCTTTTGTTTTAAATGCTGGAACTAGGACTTGGAGAATTTAAATAATTTGACACAAATTAAGGTGATAAAGCTGACTCAGACTTAATACTATTGTACTGTACTTTAAAGCTGTGCTCTCAAATAGTATATTTACACCACTCTAAATCACCGTCATTTACTAGACTTGGTGTCAAATGAACAATCTGTTTCCAAAACAAAATTACTACTCAGCAGGCTAAGATCAGGAGGATTGTGATTTGAGGGCAGTTGGGGCAAAAACTTAGTGCAGGGGGGCTAGTAATCCCAGCTACTTGGGAGGAGTAGGTAGGAGAATCGAGATCAGAGGCCTGTTTGGACAAAAAACTTGAGGCCCTATCTGAAAAACAGGTAAAGCAAAAAATGCCTAGGGATGTGTCTCAAATTGTCTGCCTAGCAAATGTGTGGCCCTGAGTTCAAACCCCAGTACAACCCCCAACCTAAAAAAATTAATTTGGGAGGGAATATGGTGAGAAGGCATTTCTGAAAGTTGATGAAGTTCCAGAGACACATTTTCCACAATGTCAGAGTAGTTATTCCTAAGTACATAGCTTTTCTCTTTGCTGTAACTTGGATGTACAAAACTATTTCCACAACTGAATTTTAAGAGGGATAGGATTGCTTCTAAACAATGCAAAGTTGACATACAGTCCTAAACAATTCCAGTAAGTAGGAAAGAAGTGTGTGTGGAGGCTGTTGGGATGCCAGATATACTTGTCCTATTACAAATAGAATGAAAGCATGGCATGAAACCTAGGATGACGAGTGACACAACCTATAAGAACAGCTCCAGAAAATAGAAATCTCAGTTGCTTGAGACATTTTTTTTTTCAGGAGACTTTTTAGTCATGTTTAGACAGAGGTTGTTAGGCTGCTAGTAGGATGAAGAAGGATATAGAATGTAGACTTATTTCTGTCTCGGTATCTTGGTCAGAAAGAATCTTCCATTCTGGAAAGAGCCAAGCAGATATTTGTAGTAGGGAGCTAAAATGCAGAATATGGAAGGGAATTGTGTAAAAGATCCTAATAGTAAATGAGTTCAGGATCTCTCTTCCCTGATGAGCTGTATGTTACTGCAGTAGGAAAATTTGCTGAAAAGATTGCTAAACTAATGTTTGTAACCTTTGGATAATCTAGAAATTAGGTAGACTCTGGTCAACATTCTAGATCAGGTTATTAAAAGGATAGTTTATGAACACAGAATAGGAAGTGGTAGTCTCTGGAATTATGGATTTATTACAGGTATTTCCTTTATAAAGTTACTAGATACGTAGATCAGGAAAATGCTATAGTTATTTCTGTCTGATTCTCTGAAATAATTTTATTTTATTTATTTATTTTTATTTATTTTTACAGTGCTGGGGTTTGAACTCAAAGCCTACACCTTGAGGCACTCCACCAGCTCTTTTTTGTGATTTTTTTTTTTTTTTTTTCCGAGATAGGGTCTCAAACTATTTCCCTGGGCTGGCTTTAAACTGAGATCCTACTGATCTCTGTCCTCTGAGTAGCTAGGATTACAGGCCTGAACTACTGGCTTTGGAAGACTTGATAAAGTATTTCATGTTCTATTTCTGAACAAGATGAAGAAATGTGGCTGAGGGATAATACAGGTAAATGACTTCATAAAGATTGGTGGATACATCCAGTATGTTATGATTGATGGATTGGAAGTTATCTTGGAAGGAGGTCCTGAGAGGTCTCTGTCTTTTAAAAATATTATTCTGATAATAAAATTTTTATATGTTCATATATACCTGCATAGTGTGCAGAAGAAAAGAGATTATAGCTCTATTTCACTCTTTAGGGGCTGAATAAAATAGTGGCTAGTAAGGTGGGCATTAGAGTAAAACTACCACAGCTTGAATCTTGGCTCCTGGTTAAGTTACATGCTCTCTTAGTACCTTTGTTTTCTTATAGGTAAGGTAGGAATTATAACAGTATTATTTCATAATTTTTAAAAGTCAACTTCATTGAATTTTTACAAAGATACACACACCTATAACCACCACAGTTAAAATATAGAACATATCCAGCATCCTAAAATATACCCATATATTACTTGCAGTTATTCTCCCTCACTCATACCCTCCCCCATCCAACCACTGCTCTGCGTCAATAGATAGATTTTCTAGAATTTTATTTATATGAAATCATACAGTATTTTTTTTTATATTTGCCTTCTTTCACTCAACATTGTGTCAAGAGGTTCATCCATGTTGTCTATAGCCGTAGCTCTTTTGTTGCTGAAATTGTTTATCCATCCATATCTCATTGGCATCAGTCATTACCAGTTCGGGGCTATATTATAAAGCAAGCTGCAGGGAACATCTTTTTGCAAATCTTCATGTAGACATGTTTTCATTTATTTTGGGAAAATACTGCCAAGTGGAATTGCTGAGCATACTGTAGATATTTGTTGAATATTTTATGAAACAGTCAAGCTGTTTGCTAAAGTGGCTATACCATTTTACATTCCCACCAGCTATAAGCAATATATGAGAGTTCTGGTTAGAGGTGTGGCTCACATGGTAGAGCACCTACCTAGCAAGTGCAAGGCCCTGCCCAGTACTGTCAAAAAAAAAAAAAAAAAAGTTCTGTTTCTGCCACTTCCTTTCAACATTTGGTATAGTTAGTCTTTTTAATCTTAGACATTGTAGTCACTGTGCATTTCCCTGATAACTCATGATGTTGAACACTTTTTTGTATCCTTATTGTTACTTGTATATCTTCCTTTGTAAAGCGTCTCTTCAAATCTTACATTTTTTTCCCCATAATATCTTCTTTTTTTTCTGGTGCCTCTATTATACATAGACTGAACAATTTGATAATGTTTAAAGATCACTGAACCTATTCCCCCCGCATTTTTTTCATCTCTGTGCTTTAGTTTGGATAGTTTCTCTTGTTCTGTCTCCAAGTCATTGATCTTATTCTTCCGTGTCTAATTGCTTTCGATCATACGTGATTCTGATAATAAAATTATTATAAGTTCATTTATACATGTACAGTATACATGAAGAAAAGAGATTATAGCTCTAACCCACTTTTACACATGTTGAATAAACTAGTGGCTAGGTATGGTGTTGCATGCCAGGTGTGGTAGTGTATGCCTCTGTAAACTCAGCACTCAGGAGGCTGAGACGGGAGAACTGCAAGTGCAAGGTCAGCCTTCCTTTTTAAGACTGAATAGTATACATATGAATAATAAAACAATTTAAAAAAAGACTGAATAGTAATCCATTGTATGTGTGCATCATATTTTGCTTATCCATTCATCTGCTGATGGACATTAGGGTTGCTTCTACCTTTTGGTTGTTGCAAATAACATGGATGTATAATTATTTCTTTAAATTCCTGCTTTCAATACGGAAAGCAGCCTGAACTACATAGTCTCAAAAGAAAAAAAATAATTTTTTCATATCTTGAAGTGTGTTCACTTCTTTAAAAAAAAAAAAAAACACCTTTTTTTTCCTTATAGTGTTCAAGTCCTTGAACATGTTGGGTGAATTTATAATGACTGTTTAATGTCCATTGCTAATTTTGTCACTTCTGACATTTTTAGATCTCCCTCCTCCTCTCTTCTCCCTCCTCCTCTTGGTGGTGCTGAGATTTGAACTTGGCCTTGTGCTTCAGCCACATTCGCACCCCTTTTTTGCTTAGTTATTTTCCAGGTAGAGTCTTGCATTTTTGCCCCAGGACTGACCTTAGACTGTGATCCTATTACCTTTGGCCTCCTGTGTGGATGGGATTGCAGGAGCACAACACCATGCCCAGTTTATTGGTTGAGATGGGGTGGGAATACAGGTGTTAGCCAGCACTCCCTCTCTTCCTGTCTCCCTTCTCTACTTCCTTCTCTCCTTCTTTCCTTTCCTCCCCTCTCTTCTTTCTTACCTTCCTTCTTCTGAATAAAGGAAAGAGGTTTTTTATTTCATGACTTTGGAGGTGCAAGGTTGAGGGACCACACCTGGTTGTGGTATTGCTGGCAGTTCCAGGGTGGTGCAGGATATCACATGGCAAGAGTCAGGAAGTGTCTCTGTGGGTACGTGTGTGACTCTAGGTCTGTTTCTGTTGACCTGGTATCTTTCCTGATTGTTAAGTCATATTTCCCTGCTTCTTTGCATGTTGAGTGACTTTAATGGATGCTGAACACTGTCAGAGTTTGATATGACCACTGTTGAATGTGGATTTTATTACCTTCCTTTAAAAACTGTTAAAAACTGTTGGGCCTTTTTCTGTTGGCAGTTAGATTACTTGTTTAACAGCTTGAATCTCTTTAACCTTTTTTTTTTTTTTTGTATAGTTCTAAAGTTAAAGTGGCCTTTAGTCTAAGGATAATTTATCTGCTAAAGCTTTATCCTATTAGGATCTCTACTGAATGCTTCCGTCTATATGTTTTGGTTGGTTGGAACTTTGAATGTCTCTAAATTCTATGTGAAATTGTGGAATTTTTCAGTTTTCAGCTCCTTGTTCATTTTTTTTGCCCAGTCTTATGACGTTACATCTCATTTATACTTATTTTAAATCAGCATAAATTTTAGTATTCAACAGAAATTCAAGGAATTTCTACTTGAACTGGAACTCTTTTTATGTGTGTTCCTCTCTATAACTTAGTACTGTGACTTCAAGCTACTCAGTCTCCCAGAACCATCATTTCCTCATGCTTTGATCTCCTTCCCTGATCTATGTTCTACAATCTGCCTCTAGACAGAAAGCTAAGACAATAATGCATTTGGATTCATAATCTATTTTAAGCTGATTTTTGTATATATTTATAAGGTAGTCTCTCTCTATTTCTCTCTCTCTCATACATATATATATGTATGTACATATATACATACAAATATATATACATACATACCCATATACATATACATATATATACACATATATATAAATACACATATATACATACATATATATATGGGTATGTATGTATATATATTTGTTTGTTTATCCAGTGTTTCCGCACCATTTGTTGAAAAGACCTGCCTCCATTAAATTATGTTGGTACCTCTATTGGAAATATGTGTGTGACTATTGAAGGGCCTTGTTCCTTTCCATTGATCTTTGTTTTCACTCAAATGCTATACTGTGGTTTATGGTTTGAATTATGAAAGAGCTAATGGGTGATTCTGACATGCTATAAATATTTCATTTGACTTGCTAACCTACTTTTGGAAAATTAATTTTAAATACAGTGTTTCTGCTATTAAAAGTATAATGTTATACAGTATCATTTAATAATTGAATGAAGAGACTTACTTTAAATGTACTTGTCTTACAGAGACCTTTTAATAAAAGTGAAATTTGGAGAAAGCATTGAAGACCTACAGACCTGCAGACTCCTAATTAAACATTCTATCCCAGCAGGACTTTTTGTGGATCCATATGAGTTGGCTTCATTAGGAGAGAAAAACATAAAGAGGTATAGCTATTAGGGGATTTTCTGATTGACATTAATTTAGTGATGCCATAATTTGGATTAAGATAAAATAGTACAAAAGATATTGTTGTAGTTTAAATTTTGTTAAAGTTTATAAAGTGACATTTTTAGAGATAGAATGGGAGTACTCTTCAACAAATGAGTGATGCTTGTCAGCATTACACCAACCAGCTGAGCTAAGTGATGAAAATTATATGTGTGTGTGTGTGTCTCTCTCTGTATATCTTGTGAAGATTAATAATTAATAAATAGTACTTCAACAGCAGCTCTGTTAAATTAGATAGATATATACCCCAACATTTGTATAATTTGGGTATGGGAAGAAAGGAAACTAGTATTTTATTAGTTATAAATATATTTATATTTATCTATATGCCAGGTATCTTCATTTTTTCTAAAAGAAGTAAGATTAAATATATATATTATATATATATATATATTTTAGGAGATATCCCAATACCCTTTATCTAAATTAATCTTTATAGCAATCCTGAAGGTGTATTATCTCCATTTTGTCAATATGGAAGCTGAGGCACAAAGAGGCAAAAAAAATTAAGGAAACACTGTCTTGGTTAATAAGATTATAATCTAAATATGATATTTTTTTGACTGTTCTGAGGTTTGAACTTAGGACCTTATGCTTGCTATGCAGGCACTCTCCACTTGAGCCACTCCACCAGCCCTAAATATGATTTTTTTAAAAGGCAAAATAGGTACACTTGTAGTCATTCATGATGGCAATTTGTTTCTAGTTGCAGTTTAGGCCAGTTTCTTCACCCCCAGTAGTACTGGGGGTTGAACTCAAGGCCTTGCACTTGCTAGGCAGGTACTCTACCACTTGGGTACTACCCCTAGCCCTTTTGCTTTAGTTATTTTTGGAGTAGGGTCTCCCATTTATGTCTGGATACACCTGGACTATAGTCTCTCTATTTACTCATCCTGTCTAGCTGGAATGACAGGTATGTACCACCACATCTAGCTATTTGTTGAGATGGGGGTCTCATGAACTTTTTGCCTGGGCTGGCCTTGAATCTCTATCCTCCTAATCTCCACCTCCCAAGTAGCTAGGATTACAGGTGTGAGTCACCACACCCAGACTGTTTATTTTAATTTTAATTTTTTTAATAGATGACTATATTCTAATGGCTCAAAATTCAGGAGTTGTAAAAAGGAATGCAACGATAAACTTCTACCTATCTCGCCCTCCAGTTAGCACACTTAGAACATAAGTTCTAAGTATATGTGCATGGCTTCTTTCTTTGCTGAGTTATGAATTCCAAGTGGACCTTTTCAAGTTTAAAATAATAGGTTTCAAATTTAAACACAGTTCTTGGAACTGTGGATTAGAATTCTGTTTACACCTACTTAATAAAATCAGTTACCATGTTCTAAGAAGATGTCATTTTTTAGATAGAAGTATCCAAAAAGAAATCCATCAGCTGACTGGAGGAGTGGCTCAAGTGGTAGAGGGTCTGCTTTGTAAGTGTGAAGCCCCAAGTTCCAACCCCAGTACCACCAAAAGAGAAAACAGTCACATGCCCGTATTTTTGGTTGGGATGAGATTTGGATGTTTGCAGGCTGATTCTTTCAAGAAAAGGAGGAAGGGGAAATACGCTGCTATGCATTGGTTGATAAAGTCTGTTTATCTTGATTTTCTAAGCTTCCTAATTGTCTTTTTTCTTTTCTATTTTTTGGGGGGGTGGGTATTGGGGTTTGAATCCAAGGCCTCCCACTTGCTAGGCAAGTGCTCTACCACTTGAACCACACACCCAACCCTTTTTGCTTTGGTTATTTTTTTGAATAAGGTCTTGTGTTTTTTGTTCAGGCTGACTTGGACTTCGATCCTCCTGTTTATGCCTTCTGCATAGCTAGGGTGACACGTGTGAACCATCGTACTCAGCTTTATTGGTTGAGATGGGGTCTTGCTAACTTTTTCCCTGGGCTCCCTTGAATTGCCATCTAATCTGTGCCTCCCAAATAGCTGGGATTACAGGCAGTAGCCACTATGCCCAGCATCTGCTTCATATTCTTCTAATCTTTAGGTATAAATCTTGTAAGTATATTTACTTTTTCTTTTTTTCTTTTTCTTGCAGTACTGGGGTGAGGGCCTCATGCTTTCTAGGTAATCACCCTACTACTTGAGCCATGACCCCCGTCCTTTTGCTTTTTAGTTTTTCAGATAGAGCCTTGAGCTTTGGGCTAGGCCAACCTCATACCTCAATCCTCCTATCTCTGCCTCTTCAGTACCTGGGATTATAAGCGTATATCAACATGTCCAGCTCCTTATTTACCTTTTTATTTTGAAAACTTCTAGAAAAATAGATGTCACATTTGTGGCATAGAATAGGAAGTTGGTTTATTGAGATAAAAGATATTTTTCCTTCTTCCTGAGTTGAGACTGTGCCCAATTCCTTGTGTAGAGAAACTTTGTCACAAGAGATGGTTCTACATGGTGATTTTAACTGGATAAAGGGGAACATGTAGGTTAATTGTTGCCTATAAATTTAGGCAGAGATCTTGGCTCTCTTCCTGTAGATAAAATTTTTTATTCCAGCAAATAGAACTATGGGTCCAAATAAAATGGATGCTATGGCAGCAAAATGATTTATAGAGGGTTTGAGAGCAATAAATACAAGCCTTAAATAGGTTTTCCAAGAGAGCTGGAGGTGCAATGGTAGAGTACTTGCCTAGCATGCCCAAGGCCCTCAGTTCCATCTTCACCACTACAAAGAGAAAAAAAAATGGTTTCACCAAGGATAGGACAGCAAAAAAACTGCATTTCATTTTTAGGTAGGGTTATTAGTGAGATCTCTCTTCCTCTCTCTCTCCTTTCTTTCTCAGAGATGGGAACAGAACTCAGGACCTCACACATGCTTGGCAAGCATTTTACCACTGAGCTACACACCCAGCCCCTAGACAAATATTTTTAATCAAAGGTCTCTCATATTCTTTTAAAACAACACAATATTAGATTGAAACATATAAAATTGCTACTTGAAATTAAGTTTTACTCAGTCAAAGTAGGAAGTGTTAAGATTTCTGGTTCTGCTCAAGTTGAAAACAAGGACTAGATTTAGTCTTCTACTTGAAACAACTAAGAAATAGAGAAGACATATGAAATAATGAAAAAAATCTTTGAATATCAGGCAGTGAAAGGCAGTGATATCTGAGAGAAGGAAAATAATCGAGGTGAGCCCTAGTATTAGCTTGTCTTCCTTGAGAGTTTCAGATTATAGTGCAGGGAAGAGGAGCCCAGGCATATCTTAATAGCTGAATACTGACTAGTGCACGTATATGAGGAAGCTACCTGCTGCCAGCAAAAGACCTTATGACCAAATTAGAGGTAGAAGTATTTGGTCCCATACAGGGCCAGTAATAGAACTTCTTTCTACCAACCAGGCTGAGAAAAGCCTATAATTTATTGGACAGTGGGTAGAGTAAATAGAAGGGCCTTTGAACTCATTAGTGGGGAGCATTTAGCCAAAACTGACGTTGCCTCAGTCCTGCATAACAAATTTTAAAATCAAGACCTTCAAAAAAGGAGGGCACTGGTGGCTTACACCTGTAATCTTAGCTGCTCAGGTGGCAAAGATCAGGAGGATCTTAGTCCAAAACCAGCCTGGGCAAATAGTTCTAGAGACCCTATCTTGAAAATACCCAACACAAAAAAAGCCTGGTAGAGTGGTTCAAAGAGTAGAGCACCATGCTAGCATGAGGCCCTTAGTTCAAACCTAGTACCACCACCAAAAAAAAAAAAAAAAAACCTTCAAAAAAATCAAATTGTTTCTAGGTAACTTAACTGCATATCAAACAAAGTTCAAGAATATATTTCTAGGAATACCAATATATCCAACATCAAACAATATCAACTTTGTAATATGTTGACTGTAATTTTAAATTGAAGAAGCTGGGCATGGTGGCCTACATCTGTAATCCCAGAACTTGGGAGGTTATGGCAGAGAGATTGTGAGTCCCAGGCTGGCCTGGGCTACATAGCAAGACCCTGTCTCAAACAAAACAACCCCCCCCCAAAAAAAAAAAAAATCAGTTATGCAAGCATGTGGGAAAATTCAACTTAATTGAGGAGATAAATGAATCCAGATCAATTAAAACTTTTTTTTTGCAGTACTTGGGCTTAAACTCAGGGCCTTAGGTTTGCTAGGCAGGTGCTCTGCCACTTGAGCCATTTTGCCAGCCTGCTAATTGGCTTTCTTTTTTTTTTTGGAGGGACTGGAGTTTGTGCTTGCCGAGCCACACCTCCAGTCCAAAAATGGTTATTTTAACTATATCCCATATGTTCAAAAAGTTAAGTAGAGACATGGGAGATATTTTTAAAAAGCCAACACTATACTTCTAAAGATTAAGATTATAGTGTGGGAAATGAAAAATTCTCTTGGATAGGATTATTGGCAGTTAACACCTTCCAGAATAAAAGATTAATGAATTTGAGGATAGCAATAAAAACTACCAAAAATGTAAAACAGACAAAATCAAATTGAGAAAGTGAATGCAGCATTAGTGAACTGTATAACAACTTTAAGTTTCCTATCATGCATGTAATTGGAGTCTTCAAAGAGTGAAAAGAGAGACAGAAAAAATATTTGAAGAAGTAATGGCTCAAAAATATCTGATTTGATAAAGGCTGTAAAACTATATAGTATAAGAAACGTGAAGAAAACTATACCAAGTCACATGACAATAAAAAATATTACAAAGAAGCCAGGTGCTCGCTGGTGGCTCACACTTCCAATCGTAGCTACTCAAGAGGCAGAGATCAGGAGGATCAAAATTCAAGGCCAGCTTCTGCAAAAAATAGTTGGCGAGACCCTATCTCGAAAATACCCAACATGAAAAAGAGCTGACAGAAGCATAAGTAGTAGAGCACCTGCCTAGCAAGCATGAGGCCCTGAGTGCAAACTCCAGTACCACCAAAATAAATAAGTAAAAATTACGAGAAAAAGAAAATCTTAAAGGAGCAAGAGAAAAACTGAAACTAAAATAACAACAGCTGATTTGTCAGAAATAATGCAAGCAAGAAGACAGTGCAGCAACATTTTAAAGTATTGAAAGAAAACTTGTGAATTTTGAATTCTGTACCCACTGAAATTATCTTTCATAGTGAAGGGGAAATGAGGGCTTTTCCAGAAAAAGCTAAAAGAACTCATCACCAAACTTGCACTATAGGAAATGTGAAAGCAGGTCTTTAGGCAGAAGGAAAATGATAGCAGGTGCAGCCTAGGTCTATATCAAGGAGGGGAGAAGGCTTGAAATGGTATCAACATGGTTAAACATGTAGAACTTTGTCCTTACTGGTTAACTCTGTGTAAAATTAATGTAGCATTCATACTATATATAAAAGTAAAATGTGTGACAGAAATCTTACAAATGCTGAGAGGAAAATTGGAAGTATACTTTTTAAAAGTTGTTATTCCAAACATGAAGTAGTTTAATGTCACCTGAAAGTAAACCATAAGGCAGTACAAAAGTAACAGTGACAGTTCGTTTGCCAGCAAAGAAGATAAGATGGAATTACAAAAATGCAATACTGACATGAGGTGCTAAAGAAGTTAGTACTAAAGAAGTTAATACTGTTTTATACTCTATGAGTATTTCAAAAGGTAGCCAACATGAGTGGTTTGGAAACCATTTCAGGAGAGACCTAGAGAACTGAATATTTCTCTGGACAGGAAAGGAGTGATGGTGGCATGGTTGCCTTCTCATGTTAGACATCTAGCAGACATTCTAAGCAAGAACAACTAGATAATGTTGCAGCCAGTACATTAAGTTTCTGTGCAGGAAAAGAATGGCCCTTTCACAGTAAATAGAGTGAGATGATTCAGAGTAATGAGCTGCCTTTTGGTCATTCAAAGTATTTAGGCAGTGGATGCTTACCTGCAAAATCCCTTCCTCCAAACAGTGGTTTAATTTGATCACTGCTGAGGTTCCTTATGACTCCTAAGTCTGTACAATTCCTGACCTTTACCAACGAGTTCTGTTATTCCTGTGATTAAGAGAGAAGGAACAACATGCCAAAAAAACCTATAGGACTTGGTAGCACTGTCAGATAGTAAAATTAGGATGCTTTGTGGTTTCTCTGAGGTATAACAGGGCTTTGCAAATGTATGTGTGTAAATAAAGATGCACATATGGGTACATATACATTAAATGAATACATTATAGCTAAGGACTGATTTCTTCCATGTGTGCATTTGCACATTAAGATACACTGTTGTAGATAGTTTTTACAACATGTTAGAAAAAAATCATTTGCTGGGTGTATCACTCAATAGAGCATTCTGCTAGCATGCACAAGATCCTGGGTTCAATCCCTAATACCACACATATACACACACACACAGATTTGCCATTTTTTTCCTCATTAACTTTTTATACCTAATATAGAAGGAGTTGATGACAGTTGTCTGACTTTCTGGCCACAGTGCTCTGTCTGATTCACTACCATGTTACTTGCTTCAATGAAGAACAGGAAATCACCAGAATGATGCCAATCATATTAACCTAATACAAGTTTAACTGTTTTTTTATACTTACTGAGTAATAATGTATTTCTTTACACAATTTAACTTTTCTTGATACCCGTTTTGTTACATAAACAGAGGTCAATAGAGAAGTTTCACAGAAATAGTTTTTATTATGGGAAATATGGCATCCCAGAGTAAAACTTCCCCAGCTTACTTTTATTATACATGGATCACATTTTGTGTTTTCTAATAAAATTGCAGTTAGAAGAGGAATGGAAGTAGTTTAAAAGGGGCTAAATTTGACACTTTTGCAAATCTGTATAGCCATCTTGTCTTACTTTTGTCTTTTTATTTTTCTCATTCATTTCTTCTTCTTTGTTTTCTCTCCAACAGGCAGTGATGGTTTCAGAAAATTTTAATATAGAAGCCCCCAACTATTTGTCCAAGGAATCTGAAGTTCTCATTTATGCCAGACAAGATGCACAGTGCATTGACTGTTTCCAAGCCTTTTTACCTGTGCACTACCGCTATCACCGTCCACATAGTAAAGATGGAGAAACCCGTATTGTGGTCAACAACCCAGATTTATTGATGTATTGTGACCAAGGTGAGGGTTGCAAGTATTAAAAATAAGTATAAAGGTATGGTGGCGGGCTGAAGGCATGGCTCAAGTGGTAAAGCACCAGTATAGCAAGTGTGAAGCCCTGAGTTCAAACCCCCGTATCACCAAAAAAAAAAACACAAGTAATAATAATGTCATGGTAAACACTGACACATAAAAAAAAATGAATGCAGGTATGGTGGCAAGTCCACATTCAAGGACAGGGATTTAAAAAGTATTTTTTTTTTCAAGCCCTGTGATTGTAAAATAAAGCACAGATTAGAAAAACTACACACACATATATATATATAGTTCAATGAACTTTTATAAGGCAGATACCTTTGTAACTACCACCCAGGTCAAGACGCATAGCTTTGCCAGCCATCCAAGCAGCTATTCCATATATTCTCCAATCATAGCCATCTCTTCCCTTTAAGACTATCTCACTATACTGACTTCCCCTTATTTCCTTATGATTCTCTATATTTTTATTACCCCTATGGACAAGATTTTTAGACGCTGTCATTTAGTATTGTCCATAAAAAAATCTTACTTGTATTAAGCCTCTTAGTTTACAGGTTTCTCTCTGTCCTTTCTTCACAACTAATCTGTTGATGAACCTGGGCCATTTCACCCATGGTTGGGGTTTTCCTGATTATGCTTATAATATAGTTCATTGTGTTCCTCTGACTCCTATATTTCCTGGAAATTGGCAGCGACTTCAGAGGTATGATGGGATTCAAGTTTGATTCCTTTGACAAGACCATAGGTAGTGCTATGTTCTTTTACTAGTAGACATACAATATCTGGTTGGGGTTTTTTTGTTGTTATTGTGTGTGCTTTTTTAATTGCTGTTTTTTGGTATTGGGGATTGAACCCAGGAAATTGCACACGCTAGGTGAGCTCTACCATTTGAATCATGCCCAAGCCCTTTTTGTTTTTTTGTATTTTGTTTGTGAGACAGGGTCTTCACTCACTTTGCCCACGCTGGATTGAACTCATGATCTTCCTGCCTCCACCTCCTGAGTAGCTGGTATACATGATCACACCTGGCATGATTTCTGTCTTTTTTTTTTTTCAGACAGGGTCTCACTTTGTAGCCCAGACTAGCCTCAGTCTTGCTTTGCTTTGTAGCTCAGGCTGGTCTTGAGGTCCTTCTGCCTCAGCCTTTTTTTTTTTTTTTTTTTTTGTGGTATTGGGGTTTGAACTCAGGGCCTATACCTTGAGCCACTCCACCAGCCTTTTTATATGATGCTTTTTTTTTTTGAGACAGAGTCTCTTGGAAACATTTGCCTGGGCTGGCTTCAAACCGTGATCCTCTTGACCTCTGCCTCCTGAGTGGCTAGGATTATAGGCATGGGCCACCAGTGCCTGGCTTACCTTAGCCTCTTTGGTTTTAGGATTACAGATGTGCATTGCCACACCTGATTGATTGTTTCTTTTTGTATACATTGATCTGGGGGGTTTTTGGTTGTTGTTTTTATAGTGTCATTGCGGGACTTTGTGGCTTTTGGTGTTTTGTCTCTACCTGCATGTACTTTAGTGTTTATATGGTTACTTTATCTTATAGTATCATTTAGTTTTTATTGTAAACTTTGTCCATGACTTTCTGGCTTTGTTGTGTAATTGTTCTTTCTGCTTTTATGGATATTTGGTAAATTAAAAAATGATTTTTTCACTATTTCTTCTTCACAGAGGAAGACTTAAAAAAAAAAAATCAAGATTTTTTTCTTTAGTTTAAGAAGCCCCTTTCAGATTTCAGTTCTTCAAATTTGGGCTGGCTTAAGTTACAATTACTAAAAACTGGCAAATGGAAAGTGTTTCATCTTACATTTTCTGCTACCATACCTTTTATGATGAGTGCTATATTTGCTGCTTTATCCAGCCTGGTTTTCTGTTTCTATTAATAGTAACCTTTCTAACCCTAAATAAAGTTTGAAAAGTACCTTTCCTGAGAGAATACTGAGAGTTCTGGTATTGTTTTGTTTTTTAATCTGTGCTGTTTATATGGGTGAGTTTCTATCAAGTTGTACATTTGGAATGTGCTCACTTTTCTGAATACATGTGCACTTGAAAAGATTACATTAAATTTTTAGTGGGATTTGTTAAAAAGTCTGATCAACTTTTGTGATATCTTTGTAATTTTGTTTTCTTAAATTTTTTAATTTAAGCTTTGATTTATCATACCTTAATAATGCAAGGGGATTTTATTATGATAACCCCATACATGCATACAGCGTACTTTGAAATATCTTTGTAATTTTATAATTTCTTAGGCATCCACATAAAAAAGGGTGCTAAAACAACATCATGTGATAGATGGATCCAAATCACACACATTGCATGTGAAAATATTTGAGTACTCTTATTGCAGCATGAAATACTTCTGTTGAGGTTCATATAAGCCTAGTCTTGAGCCCACATTCAGGTTTTCTGACATCATGTTCTACCAATTTTCTCAGAGTTCCCAATTTTGAAGTGCTGGGCTCAGTCACAAGTGGCAGCTCCTTGTGCTTTGAAGAGTAAGGATATCTGCCACTGGAACAACATGAAGTATAAATCAGTAAGCCAATATCTTATGTTGTTTTTAGATAGTGCCTTCTCACTTAAAAAAAAAAGTATTCTCTATAGTTCTGCTATATTTAAAGGATTAGCATTTTATATTCTAACATAGAAAACCATTTTAATATTGTTTCCTCATTTGAGTAAAATCATAGAATCATTTAATTTGGGGGCTGGTGATTTAGGGTTAGTCCCATTGTGTACTGGTTCAGAACATAAGTATAGCTTTATGAGTTTTATTTACTTATTTTTGGTGGTACTGGGGTTTGAACTCAGGGCCTCTGCTTGCTAGGCTGACATTTTGTTAGCCCTTTTTGCATTGTTTATTTTTGAGATAGGAGATTTTTTTATAACTGGGTTGGCCTGAACCACAATCCCCTGTGTTGCTGGGATGACAGGCCTACTACACTCAGTCATTAGTTGAGATAGGGTCTTTCAAACTTTTTTGCCTAGGCTGGCCTTGAAACCACAATCCTTCCGATCTCTGCCAACCTGCTTGACCCTGGTTTTTATCAGTAATAATGCTTTATTCTTATTTAGAATTTTTTACTAATTTTTGAGCAACAAGATAAGTTAACTTCATTATCTTACTCAAAACAAGTAAAAAAGGAAAATAAAACCCAAAGTACTATCATTCAACTATAATAAAAGTTTCTAGACAGTTATAGTGCTATTTTATATCTAAGTTTAGGCTGTTTTAGGCCATTTTTGTAGTTTTGATCTCCCCAACTTGTTTTCACTAATTAAATTGAGCACAAATACTTTATTAGCACTGGCTTTGTTTCAGAAGAGTGTACAATTTACGCTCATAAGTTAACAGAATCTTCTTTGTTGTCTTTATAGGTTGTCTCTGTATTATGTATCCCTCTCCTCCCCCTCCCCATCCTTCTCTTCCTCTTTCATGAGCTGCCTTTTAACTGATTCTTGTATTAGTGTTTCTCTTTGTTCCTAATTCTTTTTAAAGTCTGCTTTTTTTGGTTGAAAGAGATGATCTGTGTCATCACTGTTATAGTTTACTTTTACAAGAGTCAAATGAATTTGCAACAAAAATAAAATAAGTATTTAAACCCAAGATACCATAACTGTCAATCAGATAACCATATGGCAGATTTATTTATATGTATTTTTCTGGATATTTAGATAAGAAGTAATTTCCTTGTTGTTGTTCAGAAGTATATCCACTCAGAAAACAACTACTTAGAGTAAAGATTTACTATTTCATTGCTGTTTTGTATTGGAGAACTTTCCTTGAACTGACAGTTGGAAAGAAAGATGAGTGTGCTAACACCTTATACAATGTTGATTGCTTCTAAGTAGACTGCTGTTGCCATATGTACCTGAGATTTTGTTCAAACTCTAAAGTACACCTGGAGAAATGCATTTGACTTTAATACAAATGGAGAATATGCTTAGTGTTTATAACTTAACTGATTTTAAAAATTGTGAACATTGCTACAAAATAGTTACCCTATTAAAACATTTTTGAATTAAGTTCTCTTTAAAACCATGTAACTTGAAGAGGTCCGATGTAAGCACTTTAGATTCTTTTCTTTCAGAAAAATAAGTATTTAGACATTAATTAGGTTGATGTTCTATACTAAAATTTGCTTAAAACACCATTTTTTGAAAGATGATTTTTCAAATAACATTTGTTACAGATTAGGTTGGTAACTTTTTGTTTTGGAGTGTGAAATTATGATTCAGGGATTTTTTTGTTTTTTTGGTAGGACTGGGGTTCAAACTCAGGGCTTTGCGCTTGCAAAGCAGGTACTCTACCACTTGAGCCACACCTCTAGTCTATTTTCTTCTGGTAATTTTGCAAGTGGGGTCTTGAGAATTATTTGACTGAGCAGCCCTATATCCTCGATCTTTCCATTCTCAGCCTCCCAAGTAGCTAAGATTTCAGGCCTAAGCCACCAGTGCCTAGCTTTCGCAGGGCTTCTCATTGAACCCCTTTATCTTCAGTGCTAAAGAGAAAATAGAAACCAGTTGACATAGGCACACTTTTCCATTGCTAGTCATAGTAAAGGATACATTGAGTTGTGCAATTTGTGAATAGCAAATGTGAAAAAAATTATTTGGGGAAAGAAACCACAAATACAGAATAAGTAGATATCTTAGTTTTATTATTATTTTAATGTCTTCCTCTAGGACTGAACTTAGAATTCTGTATTCTAATGTGAAACTTTGTAAAATTAAGTAAATGTGTTGATTACAGATGTGACATTTAGGTATACTTTTAAAAAAGATATACTCAAAACTAAGAAAAAGGGGCCAGGGATATAGCTCATTGCTAGAGTGCTTGTGTGGCATGCTCAAAGCCCTAGGTTTGATCCACAGCAAAAAAAAAAAAAAAAAAAAAACAGTGGAAAAAAATTTAAAAAAAAATAAAGTAAGGAAAGTTATAATGTGAATTATGAATTACTGTGGAAATTAAGTCTGATTTTATAACATTAAATGAAATGTTGGGTCTGAAAATCAAACAGTAATGTTATATGTAATGTAGCATTGGCTGAAAAAACTTTAAGAGAAAAAAAGAAAGATTAAATTAAAAATCATAGAAGCTGGGCACCAGTGGCTCACACCTATAATCCTAGCTACTCAGGAGGCAGAGATGAGGAAGATCATGGTTTGAAACCAGCCAGGGGCAAGTACTTTGCCAGCCCCTATCTCAATAAAACCCATCACAAAAAAATAGCTGGTGGAGTGGCTCAAGTGGTAGGGTGCCTGCCTAGCAAGCATGAGGCCCTGAGTTCAAACCCCAGTACCACCAAAAAAAGAAAAAAAAGAGAAAGAAAATCAAAGAAATAGTAGTCTTACTATGAGATGTACATTTAATGTGTCTAATTTTCTTTTCACAGATACTCAGGAATGTGACTCTACAAGTTCCAGTAGGCCTGACTATACATACCTCTTTAGTATGTTCTGTGACTCTGCTCATTACCGTCCTCTGTTCTACTTTGATCCTTGTAGCTGTTTTCAAATATGGCCACTTTTCCCTATAGGTTTTATGCAGTTAAATGTTTTGTATAAACCTAACTTATAGAAATGTATTCATTTGTGAATAGAAGTGTTCTTTCAGAATTAACTCATGACTTTGGTCTTTTGTCTTCATTTATGGTTAAGATTATGTTTGCCAGAGGAAATTTTAGATCACTCTCAGTTAATTCCCAAACTTAGTACTATTGTATAAACCTTTGATAGTCTTCAAGTATCAAGTGCCAATAGAGGAGGCTTAATTCTGTTAAATTAATATTCATTTTATGAGAAATGACTGCCATCATTTGGGATACAAAAACGGGCTCTTTATATATTGGTAGCAAATCATTCTCATTTTGGAATAGAAACCTTTCCATTTAAGCCAAAAATTGAGAAAAATCCTTGTGAATAGGTAAATGGGCTGTGGCTGCAAGTCAAAGGTCAAGTGGCAGGTCACTAGCAAGTGTGAGACCCTGGGTTCAATCCTCAGCACCACAGATAATAATAATAATAATAATTTAATTTGGATGTAAATCAGGTTTAATTTAACCCCTAATTACATGAGAATACTAAGGCTACTTTCACAGAATTACAAAGACAATAATTGAAGGACAGTTAAGAAATTGTTAATTTCAAAATTACTTATTCCATAAGTCACCCTTATTTTCCTTTTACCTATTAAAATATTTCCTTTGAACATACAAATTGTAAAGGGCTCGATGAAACTGAGGACTAAAATTTAGTACCAATTTAGTTACTGAGTTTGTCAGGAAGACAACACTGGTTTTTTTTAGTTAATTTTTTGGGGTTTTTTGGCTATACAGGGGATTGAACTCAGGGTTTGGGGCTTGTTTGCTGGGCAGGTGCTCTACTATTTGAACCACTCCACCAGTCCTTTCTGCATTGCATTGATTATTTTTGTGTGATTCTTTTCTTTTTTTTTTGGTGGTACTGGGGATTGAACTCAGAGCCTCCTGCTTGCTAGGCAGGTGCTCTACCACTTAAGCAATTCTGTCAGCCCTTGCATTGGTTATTTTTGAGATAGGGTCTTTCTTTATGCCCCTCCTGAGCTGGCCTGCCACTGGCAGATTATCATTTTAAACCATGTGTTTTATAAAGTTACCCATTTACAAAAATATTGAATTTTCAAGTGATCGTTTTTCAACAAAGTCTTGATGCACTATTATACTTGGAGGAAAAAGAAAAAGTGCCACCATATTGGTTAATTAAAAAATGAAACTCTTAAGCTGAGCACCGGTGGCTCATGCCTATAATCCTAACTACTTGAAATGGTCAGGTTGTGAGAACGGTGGGTTTGAGGCCAGCTGGCACAAATAGTTCCCAAGTCCCTATCTCAGTCAGTAGCTGGGTTCTGTCGCACATGCCTGTCTTCCCTGCTACTGTGGGAAGCATAAATAGGAAGAACAAGTCCCAGGCCAGCCAAGGAAAAAAGCAAGACCCCCATCCCAAAATAATCAGAGTAAAATGATTGGAGATGTGGTTCCAAGTTATAGAGGGCCTGTCTAGCAAGTGTGAAGCCCTGAGTTCAAACCCCAGTATTGCGAAAAAAAGAAACTTAGAACAAGCATGTTCCAAAACAGAAGCCAAACTGGAAGGTAATAAATGTTAATACATGCTATCACTGCTTATTTTCCCTAATTTTGGTGTTTTTATACGAATAAATCTTTCATAATTTGACATGTGTGACTTGAGTAGTGTAAAAATTCTTTCTGAAGGTATGTTTGGGACTTAAATATTAGAAAAGGCAACTCAGTGCCATAAAGCCAGAAGTATTAGAGATCTTTAAAATTATTAAAATTTCAACCTGGTCTAGTTTCATACCTGTTTTGGGTTTTTTATTTTCTGTTTTGGTGGAACTGGGGTTTGAACTCGGTTTCATGCTTGCAAAACAGGTATAGGTGCTCTATCACTTGAGCCACACACTTCTAGTCCATTTGCTCTGGTTATTTTGGAAATAGGCTCTTGTGAACTGTTTGCCCAGGCCGGCCGGCCTCACACTGCATTCCTCCCAATCTCAACCTCCCAAGTAGCTAAGATTACAGATGTGAGCCACTGGTGCCCGACATGTGTTTTGTGTTTTTGTACATGATAGAATTCCATGTTTTTCAAACATGTCTTTCACTATTGGATTAATAATACGGCATTGAAATGGAATTATATGTCAGTTAAAATTCAATAACATTGACAGACAGTGGTTTGAAATATGGTCAGACAGGTGGTGGACATGGTACTGTTGAACTTCTGAAGAGTGTGTGTGAATATGCATCACAAATATATATATGTATATCTCACAAATATATATTTTTTATTTGGATATCAGAACAAAATTCCATCAGTATATAAACTTATTTCCAAGTTAATATTTAAGATTGTGACTTAGAACATTTACTCATTTATATAGGATTCAGAAGTATAATAAAAATGTGAATGAAAAAACTTTGATAGGAGTCTTCCTGCCTGATTAGTGCTGAGAGGTGACATTAATTTTGATACAACAGAATATTTCTGGTTTTGACCTCTTTATATTCCTTGGATACTTAATGGATAAGCACTTTATATTTTAAATCAGTTTTGTAATTCTGTGTATGATCTTTTTGTTTAAGGCCAAGAGAATGGATACTGTTGTCTTGCTCATTATGTTCCAGTAATTGTTCTACATTTATAGTTTATTTTTCTTAAACTATTATGTTAGGTTCTTTTGGATACAAATAACAGAAACAAATAACTAAGGGTGATGGTAAGGCAACAGGGGTGTATGTGTGTGTGTCTATCTGTCTCAGTCAGTCTCCCAAGAACTTATATTTTTTAGCTAGATCTTTTTAAGAATGGTATATGGCTTAGGAACTGGACAGTTCTATTGCAGCTGTAATGATTTCAGAATATAATTAATTTAGGGATTATTCTAGCCAGATAGTCTATTCATTTGTACCTGCTCACCTACATTTTGGTAATTGGTGCTAGATAATAATGTGGAAATTATTAAGGTAAAGGGACCGTTTGTATCCCTCAAACTTAAAAAAGTATGTTACTAGCAGGTGGCTGAATATAGTAGGATTTGGTAGACTAGGAGAGAATGAAACAGTGTGGACTGGGTGTGCTCTTCAGTATGGTCCTAGTCAGTGGCAGGTTCTAGTAATTTCTTGCATCTTCCACATTCCTTCTGAGATCACTTTCCTCCTCAATTATATCTTTTAAGGAGTTCCTATATAGTAACATCTCTGTTTTTGTTTGATGATATCTTTATCTCACCCTCATTCATCTGATTGATAATTGTTATTTTCTCTTGGTACTTTGAATATTTTATTCCATTAAAGACCATCACCCATTGTTGCTTTGGAGAAATCTGCTATGAATTTAATAATTGTTTCTTTGTAGAGAATGTCTTTTCTTTCTGTTTACTGTATTTCTGGTATTCAGTTTCACTTTGATGTGTTTGGGAAGATTTCTTTTACTTACCCTGCTTAGAATTCAGTTTGCTTCCTGAATCTAAAGATTCTTTAATCAGTTCTAGAAGATTCTCACCATGACCAGTCATTATCTCATCATATACTGCTTCTTTTGTTTTCTCTCCTGGAATTCTCATTAGGGGATGCTAGACTTTTGACAGTCTTTCCCTGTGTCTTGTAAACTTTTTTCCTTGTAAACTGAGCTGCTATTCTCAGTAATTTCCTTAGATCTCTCTCACAGTTTGCTAATTCTGTCTTCAACTGTGTATAGTCTGCTGTTTAGCCCAAACATTGGCTTTGGTTTCAATTATTTTTTTATTTCTGGAAGTTCTACTTGGTTTCTTTGCAGATTTGCTTGGTCGTTAAAAAAAATAGTATCTTGTTTCTTGCTCATGTTTCCTGGTTTCTTATTTTCTTTAATCATTTAAATAAACGTATTTTACATTCTGTAACTAGTAATTCCAATATCTAAATTCCTTATCGACCTCGCTATTCCCTTTGCTGTTTCTTTTGACCCTCTTATGGTGGCTTATTTCCTCAGGTGTATTGTAAGCATTTTGGGGATGCTCATGTTCAGCTTTGGAAGTTCTCTTATCTGTAGAATCCTTTGAGACCAGGATTGAACGGGCACCTGTGTAGCGAGGGTTTACACGTTTCTTCCCAGTCCTCAAGCACTATCAGCCACTTTCTTGGCTTGAGATTTCCCGGATGGTACAGGTACTTAAAATTGAAACTTTAAAACACATGTGAGGGAAAGTTTATGGTTACAAATTCTAAAGAGAAAATTTTCTTTTTACCTCTATGCCAAGTCTAGGATAAAAGAAATGTTTTGCATGTTTTCAGTCTGTTCTTGGAGGGTCCTAGAAAAGAGGTGGGATTTAATGTAGCAGCAAAATATAGAAACTGGGGGTAAGAAAACAAAATGGAGAATGGGTGAATTCCCAGAAACAAAGGTCCTGGAGTAGATTTGTGTCAGCCACCCTCTGTCAACGTCTTCAAGTAGATAGAACCTGACTGGAGACGATGCACAACGGAGTTAGTTGGGAGACTAGTTGTCTCCCCAAAGAGAGCCACATACTGAACTACAAGTACCGGCGGCCCCCGCGCCGCGCCCCGCCCCTGGCGGGAGGGGAGGGACTGCGCTCTAGATCTGGCCCCTCCTCCGCCCCCCGCCGGCGCCTCCTCCAGGGTTGTGGCCACGCGCAGCGGCGGCGGTTGTTCCGCTTCCCCTCCGGCCCGGGCCGTCGCCATTGCCGAAGGCTCCTGCCCTCCCTTCCCCGGCTCGCGGGGCTTCGCAGCCGCCCGGCCTAGCGGTAGCCGCGGCTGCGCTGCGGCTCGGCTCCTCTTCCCGCCCTGCCTGCCCTCCCTCCCTCTCTCCCTTTCGAGTCGCGCGCTCGCCCGGGGCGGCTCCGCAGCCGGCGGAGCTCGGACAGAGGCATCTCGCCGGGGCGGGGATCTCGCCTGCCTTGCCTGCCTCGCCTGTGGTAAGTGTGCGGACAGGCCCGAGACGCGGGCCGTCGCCCTCCTCCTCCCCGCCCCGCGGCCTGGCGGCGGAGCGG